GAAGGTCCAACAAAGTTTGGTTTGTTGGTGATGTGCTGGGTTGTCCATTCCAAGCTTCAGTGAGACTAACAGAGGTAGCTCGTTTAACGTTGAACACTAGGAGTGTTTCCCAAGTCCCTTCGACTACAGCAGCTGAGAAGTTAACCAAAACTATGTTAGCAAGATCTGCATCCTAAGTAAAAGTCGATGAAACTAGAAACGAAATGCCTATACAGAGACTACTGAAAGAATACACGCGAAATAAATCTAGGTATTCCGTGTTGAGTGCCCTCTATTTCCTTGATGATACAAAATAAAATACCAACATGTTAACTTAATCATTATCCAAATTCAATAAAACTAGAGCAAAATATGAGCAACAGAAAGATATACACGGAAACTCCTGAAAAAGTAAAAGCAGAATAAGAGCATGTGTTCCGAAGAGTAAGCATCTTTTGCTGAATCAACGACACCCGCCATGTAAATAAATCTTGGTCAAGCCAAGTAAGCAATGTCGTGTTCTCAAATGAGATCAAGGTTTACAACAAGGTACCCAATGGATATTTCGAAAGAGAGAAAGAGAATACAAACAAACAAACTGTGACTTTCTTTATTCAAATGTTATCTGTAATATTTTGCTGTAGTTCGTTACCGGTTTTTAGATAAATATAAAGTAGGCACTCTGATAGGTGTTTTTTTAATGTTCTCTAACAAGACACTTCCGTATATATACTTAACAAAAAAAGCCAACCCACCCCCCACCCCCCACCCCCACTTGCAGCACGCCTTATCTGTAAGAAATAATGAATTATTTGGTTAGGTGTTACATCAAGAATGATCTCCCTTCTCCACAATCTACCCAAAAATCAGCCAAGCGTGACTGTGACTATGTGATTGTCTGACTTCTTTAATCCAAATCACGCGGCGTGACCAAGCCAAGCCAGATTTCTTCAAGCAACAAATTTCAACGGATACTTAAGTTCGGCACATGAATTTTCCACGTTGACATTTTCATATCGCCTTTGACCAAGATGCCACGCCTAACGCGAATTCAGAGGATATAGCAGTTACGGTGTGGATGGATGGTCATAGCCAAACTGCTGTTGCACGGCAGTTTGTCGTTGTCCCTTGTACAATTAACCGTCTCTATACACGTTTCTTGTTACTGGGTTCCGGTCGTCCGCGGGTATCGACTGCACGACCAGATACGGTGATTCGGTTGTCGCGCTAGATTCAAGACTGCTATAGAGACTGCATCGCATACCTTAGGTACCAGGGGAAAGAAAAAGCCCGGGCTTACACATAAAAAAAATCCGTGCGTAGAGTATGTCGGACAAAATTACAAAACTAAGGTTGAAAATAAATATCAGGGGCACAGGCACTCGAGGCCAGGATATTATTTTTTAAACATTGATTTTTGTTTTAGCACTCATGACTGACGTTATTTAAACGAAATATCAGCAGAATTCAAGTTTATGTGCCGGTTGACAAATCCGAGGTCCAAAATATCATAGGCTGTTGATTGCATAATAATTAATAATTGTGCGTTTTTGTTTAGTATACATCAATATTTGACGCCGCATTCAACACAGTGGTTACCGATGATAGCTGTAAAACTAGACATAATGAATTACCGGTCTTAGTACAACTTTTCATCGTTCCTTATTTAACATTCACGGTTTCTTTCCGTATTGATCGTGTTGGAACTAAGACCAACAGGAAAGTGAATTTGGTCCTGATTGCTTAAAATCTAATTTCGAACACACGGTTTGTTTTCGAATTTTTAATTTCTTCATAATATTTTAACATTTTGTGTGCTTGTTGTTTTTTCCATCTGATCGATTTGATGTTTAGAATACACACATCCTTTTCTGTGCTCATTTCCATCCTCGGAGTCTTGACAACCGTCTTCATATTATCTTTGCTGTTGCGACGATTTTAAGTAGACCGAGTACTGTTCTAACGCTCCAAGGATAATATAGATTAATAGATTTATTGATTTCACATGTATTTCAGTCAACGGTAATCGCATTTTCAACACAAGATAATGAACTCTTAATGCAGATTGTCGTGACCTGCTTAAGGATATACTCCTCTGAGAAGTGAAAAATCAGCGTTTAACTTTTTACCTGATGGTGAATTTTTGAAAGGTATGATTCTGGAAAGTAGATTTAAAGCAAAAATCAGTATGTTGTTGCACTACTTTTTCCGGTACAGGCCCAAGAAAATAAGTAACAGGAAATAATTCATTTACAATTATCATTCTTAATTTTTCCTGAATAACTTACCTTCTCTGGTATTATCGTGGCAGCCTTTTTCATAATTAATTTTAGTCTTTTATTTCAAAATAAGTTTATGATATTTGGATATTAAGAAAATATGCAAAAAATGTTAAGTTTTCGTTTGATATCGGGAGCTTTAAACTGCATAGCAACCAAAAATGTTATTAATATTTTATTTGATCATCTTCTAGTGCTAATTTCATTAAGACTTGAAGTTTTGAGAGAGAAATTTTCGGGGATACTCTTCACGATTAAAAAGAGGGTTCCCTGTGCTTTATCTTTCGCAATTTTCACCAAAATAATAAGTTTTTCCAAGATCAACATATCAAAGACAAACGTCCACGATACTATGTTGGAATTCGTTTTATACTGAATTAGGTCTTACTGCCATTACAAACATCAGAGGACAACATCCTTAAAGTCAACATTTATACAGAAACGTAGTTTACAAAAATCCAGTTTGTGTAGATTGTTTTTCATTATCATTGTTTGAGAAGAGACATTGATTCTGAAAATTTGGCTTATCAACTTATTGATTCCATAAAGGAGATGGACAATATTTAAGTAATACCTTAGCGTTACTAAATAGCCCTTTATCTTGTGAAACGATTACACTGATTTTTTCAAGTTCATGTACACAAAAACGATATGTAATTGCTTGTAAACAAAATTAATGATTTCCAATAAAACAAAAATATAATTGACCTGTACACAAAAATGTACATGCACACACAAATTATATGTACCTGTATGTAAAAATCATAATTACCTGTACCGATTAAGACCATGAAGACAAATGCTTCATTCGTCACTTGTCCAATATTCATTTTGATAATCTTTTTTACAAAATCTTCACCATACAATGAGTAGGTCCATAATCCCCCCTATACTGTTGACAATGTATATTATTCTACTAAGTATATGATAATAAGGTGTCCTTCCTTAAATACCCATCATTGTTGCTAGGACTGTAAAGTACATGAAACCATGTCACGTCAAAATCAATCATATCAGAGAAATCTATTTAACCCTCAACATGTTAAACATAACTACAATGCAGATATCCTACCAAACATGGAGATTCCGTACGGGTACTCTATGAACTCTCTACTTACCATCAGATATCTACACACTATTGAACACTCTGCTTCATTATTTACATTCTATCGAGTTTTAGAGTGAATTTTTTTTAACAAATAAATTAGAAACTATCATTACTTACACATAAAAGAGGTGATTATTTTTTTATAAGACAGACCTCGGTGATTTTAAGTGTCAACACATAAATGAATTGATTAATTATCTACAAGACAGACCTCGGTGGGTTTTACTGTTAACTCATAAACGAATTGATTAATTATCCATGTTACAGGCTTCCTTGAAAAAAAATCAACAAAAAGTGCTTATCAATTATCCATGTGGCAGGCCTCGATGATGTACTTAGGAGTCAGAGAAACGACGGAAATAGACAACTGAACATAACTTATTTATGGTATCAATATCGCTGTACTTATCTAAAAAAAATCAAGAAAATACCAGCATGGCAACATAATCATAATTTAAACTCAACTTCCATAAAAAATAGGGCAAAAAAAAACAAAAGAAAGATGCACACGGGGACCCCTGGAAAAGTACAAGGAGAATAAGACTAGGGTTACGGAAGAGCACGCGTCGTCTGCTTCATCGACAACACCCGCCATGTAGACCTTGGTCAATCCAAGTAAGTAATGATACATTCTGAAACGAAAACAAGTATACAACAATGTAACCAACAGGTATACTAACGAGCATCAAATACGTCCAGCTTCATGTCGCACACAGAAGTAGAATATTTCTCAATGACATCACTATGGCAACCATAAAACTTCCCCATCATTTTCATCAAGCTGCATCTTTGATCCCTTGTGTTACGAGTTTGTCAGTTGATGACTTCTTGAACAGGCCCTTGGATTAACTGTGGTATGTAAAAATCATAAGTTGTGGATGCAGGGGTATAGCTATCCAGAAATTGAAAATTCACATTAGGGGAATTGAAATCATCACTTTATCTTACCGCTTGTTGGAAAACTGTCTATGTTGGTTTTGCTGTAGGAAAAGATCGAGATAAGCAATTGATGCAGAAGAATTCAATCCTTTGTTATTTCTGAACCTACGGCCTCCAGTCAACAAAATCAGGAAACAACCTCTTTTCAGCGTGTCATTTACAAAACATACAGATAATGTTCATTATACTCTGCAATCCTTGATGTTTTGTGAAACATTTTCTTAAAATTTTATTTGAATTACATTAAAAAATAAAACGGTATTAACCTTCGATAAATCACTTCGCAGTGTACATAGATTCCATCCTCATCCATCAGACCTGCTTCACTAAACAAGGCCTCCCTATCAATTTCAGACATCACTAAACAAGGCCTCCCTATCAATGTCAGACATCACTAAACAAGGCCTCCATATCAATGTCAGACATCACTAAACAAGGCCTCCTTATCAATGTCAGACATCACTAAACAAAGCCTCCCTATCAATGTCAGACATCACTAAACAAGACCTCCCTGTCAATGTCAGACATCACTAAACAATGCCTCCCTATCAATGTCAGACCTACATCACTAAACAAAGCCTCCCTATCAATGTCAGACATCACTAAACAAGATCTCCCTATCAATGTCAGACCTACATCACTAAACAAGGCCTCCCTATCAATGTCAGATCTACATCACTTAACGAGGATGTAAGATGTCTGGAATGCAGGTTGCAGCTGCACCAAAGCCAAAAATGTTGCAAAGCCTGTGTTCTACATTCTGGATTATTCTTCCAAGGTATACGAGATGAAATCTGGGAGATCTTTCATAACCTGAATATTTCTTTAACGTCTCGAATCAATCGGAAGAGCGTCGTTTCAGATCGCCTGTGGCAAAGTGTTAAGCAGAGTGAAGCGCTAGGCATCTCCAACCAGTACCACTTTTTGACGACATCCAGACCTGAACGCGGTAGTAGGGGGAACTAGTGTTCAGCACCTCTACTCTCTAAAGCCAAACACACACACACGCACCCACACCCTCACACACACGCACGCACACACGCACGCACACACACACACACACACACACACACACACACCACCACCACCACCACCACCACCACCCACCCCCACACCCACACACACCACACACACCACACACACACACACACACACACACACACACACACACACACACACACACACACACACACACACACTCCCCCTCCCCCACCCCCACCCCCATTCCCCCACCCCACACACACACACACACACACGCACACAGACACACACACACACAAACACACCCACACTCAATATGAAATAAGTATTCCCATGGTCAATGGACAGTGTCGAGACAACCTATCTAGGTATAATCCACCCCAAAAAGTCAGTATACAACACGATCTTAATCAACATCAGGAAAGGTGCGATAAACAGCTTTATGGAAATTGGTCTCCACGGCAAAATGAAACTGGCTACACAACGGAGAGTTGGGCGGCTAATTCAACGTCGATACATCGAGAAATATTGTAAAGATTATAAGACTCTTTCATATGCGTGTATGTAGGATAGGGATATTCCACCCGAGGGTCACAAAATATAGTGAAACCCGAGGCGGCTCTGCCGAGGGTTTTACCATATTTTGTAACCCCGATGGTGGAATATCCCTATCCTACATACACACATAATGAAAGAGTCTTTTTCTCTCTCTTATCTTTACCAAAATTTTGGGAAAAGGACAGTCGGTCGGCCATTATCTTCATTTTTTTCATTTTTTTAATCCAAAGTTTTTATAAAAAAACGAACTGGATATTCTTAATGATCATACCCATATTTTGCAAACTTTTAGTTTGCTGTCAAATTTCAAACCATTTTCCGGTATATTGCACGATGAATATATTATTCGCAGATAAAAAAAAAATGATCTCTGTTTGATTATATAGTATGTGTAAGTAAACATCCGCGAAAAGAAATTGTTCCGTCAAATACTTCAAAGAAATCAACAAGGAACGGATTTTTATAATTCAACATATATTTTTATCATCAAAATCACATATTTGATCATTTTAAGAAATATATCAATGTATCGTTTTACTGTTTTAACATTTTTTCAAAATACTGTGACGCTGACATGACGTCACCATAGTCAAAGGAATTCCATTCATAAATTCAAGGCGTGACGTCACACGATCTCCTACGCCGAGTCGCTGTCGCTCTCGATCACCATGATTCGACGACGTTTGGGTGGTGGAACATTTGTGGTGATATTTACGGTGATTTGGCAATTTTCAATGTGAGAACCAGCAAACAAGGATTCGATGTGAGTTTCAGATTGTTTCTGTGATACAGGATTGTAGGTGTTAACCGTGTTTTCTTGTTGTGATGACGATGGTAAGCACACTGTGACATCAGATGTAGGCCTAGTAACTGTTGAAGTTGATGAAATGGTGGCAGAGGATGGTGTTCGGTTTGATGGAATTAATTCGGAGCTTTTTATGTTTGACAACATATTGGAAATCACGTACTTCTGTCTGTCATTCAGTGTCCTGTAATTATTCATCGACTGTGTGTTTTCATGACCCGTGACATAAACCTGCAAGGTATCGGGTACATAGTTGTCGGTCATTTTTTGTACAAGGGATTTTCGGACGCTGTAAGAGTTGTCTCCCCTGAACACAGATTACTCCGCGCACTTGTTTGCCCATGTAAGATAGAATTTTCTTACATAGCTTTCTTACATGAGCAAACTCTATCCAATATGGCGGGATATGAGAGAAAACATGGTCTTTGTGAAATACAGATACAGTCGCATGAACAAACTGCCTCTACATTTTTCTTGGTAGTCAGTTTGTAATTCGGAACATTTTCTTCGGGTTGGTAATGTCATTAGAATAGAGATTCTTGGTCGATTCCTTGCCATCCCGTACAGTACGTACGTCAGTGCTAGTACGCTCCCCACTGGTCATTTGTCTGATGAAGGTGACCGTGTAGATCTCGTACACTACGTACGTCAGTGCTAGTACGCTCCCCACTGATCATTTGTATGACACTCAAGTCTTCTACTGTTGTGTTTCAAGAACTATTGTCTGTTGTTGTGTTGTATGTTCATGCGGACATGATTTTTGGTCACGTGATTCCCTAACTTGTGATTGGAAGTTATGATTTACGAAATTGGCTGGTTGCCCACTGTCTAGTAGGTAAGTGATACATTCTAGAACATCCAAAAGTTGTACTACGTAATATCTTCCATTTAGATTGTTACTTTTGAGATAGTTCATGGCCTTATCTCTGATAATTGTTTACAAGATTTCCCGTACTGTGCTTGTTAGACGGTTGTGTCTATAGCTCTGAGTATAGACGTACAATATCAGTCGGTATTACACACGTACGTCATTGTTTTGGATTTACTGTACTTTATTTTGCAGTTTTTGTTTTGCAGTTGTCATATTATCTGATTGGAAAATAGTCGATCTGGTTTATTTTCCGTGTAACTATTCAGGAGTCTCTGAATCTTCCTTGTTGTTCATATCTCCCCCCCCCCCCCCCCCCACACACGCCCCCCCCCCCCCCCCCCCCCCCCACCCACCCACCCACACACACACGCTTCCTTGCTTCAGTCGACTTTAAGTTGAATTGTGATTCTGTTGACATGTGATCTTTTCTTCTTGTTCTCAAAGACGGTTTTGTACCCTAACATAATGTCGCTACCGTAACATAATATCACTACAATGTCACTACCGTAATTTAATGTCACTACAATGTCATTACCGTAACATGATGTCACTACAATGTCACTACCGTAACATAATGTCACTACAATGTCATTACCGTAACATAATGTCACTACAATGTGACTACCGTAACATAATGTCACTACAATGTGACTACCGTAACATAATGTCACCACAATGTGACTACCGTAATATAATGTCACTACCGCAACATAATGTCACTACAATGTCACTACCGTAATTTAATGTCACTACCGCAACATAATGTCACTACAATGTTACTACCGTAACGTCTGTTTATAGCTGCTCTCTTAGTTTCATGTTAAATAAAATGCGATGTAAATGTATTTATCATATATCCAAATAATAAGAAACACAACAGCGTAACAAAATTAAAATTGAATTTAATAGAAGTTTTCAGAACAGAACATTTTTTTAAAATCAACCTCAAAGTTCATCATTTTAGATTTTGTTTAATTCATAATCTTATTTTATGTTTGTTTTCTGTCCGACATTGATCTTCTTCCTATCATAATACCAGCATCTTACAGACATGGATATTTGATAGAAAACAAAAATTAGAAAAGAATTAAAAGTGACACAATACCGCAAATGCCCATTCACAGAAATAGAAACAAAAATAAAAAATCAAGATGACACAAAACCTCAAATCTCAGTTAAAAAACAAAACAAAAACACAAGAATTTAGATTACGATATAGTGACACGATACCGCAAATCCCCATTAAAGAAACAAATTTTTGGGAAATTCCTGTCGCGTTGACTTGCTGTTCATATCTAAGAATGAACAATGACAGAAAACATCATTCAGTTAATAAAAGGAATTTTCTCAAATAAAAGAGAAGTTTCAATTGTACCCAAACTTGCCCCTTTTTTCTGGAATAGTCGAGACATGGCTCGCCGTCTATCGTCTTGTCCAAATCAAAAGTGAGTTTTAAGGGAGGTAACTCATTCATAACTGATACATATATTATTGTCTTTGTTGATTAGAGACGTGTAATGAATATCAACTTTATGAAATGTATATTGATTTACCTAAATATCTTTTTCTTTTAAAAACTGTTTTTCACAAACTTCCCTTACCCTCGCTAATTATTCATATGATAATTTCTTTCGTCGTTTCTCTCAAATCACACTTCAATATCTAGAGTGTTCATCATATGTCTTAGGAAAAAAAATAAAGCATATATTCTTCAGAGATTACAGTTGATTTGATACTTCCTTGATTTAGACAATTAAATGTTTACGTTGTTAACATGGTTTGTGATGAAATGAAAGACGCACTTTGTTTCATAATCTGGCTGAATTAGAAGTAGATTTGAATTTAGAGCTTCTTTTGTTTAGTAGTATTGATCTTTCTGAGGACCTAAACTATTTTGTCTTTAGACATGTGCAAAATTTCATTAAATCCAGCAAAAAATTTTAAAGGTTCTTACACAATGATGTATTTATGACTGTGTGTGAATGCTTAATATGTATAATTTATGTTTAAGCCTATGTCTTTTTAAGCATGTATTTGAAAATGTATGATGGGAGAGGACTCCAATAAGTTGTAATAACTTGTGCCCAATTCCCTTGTTCAAATTTATTTTGGCAATAACATATGTTTAAACTTACAAAAAAACTTGTGATGTAACGGAATTATTCATAATATTCGTTACCGCCTTCTTTAATTAAGGGGAGAAAACTCATTTCGCCTACTGCCGCAGATCAAAATCGCCTCACTTCGTGTGATCACACCAGTTTGTATCGTGGATATATCTATATTGATTTTCAATAAATAAAATTCCTCAGTAGTTTCCGCTGTGGATATACTAAATGACGTTCTAGATTACTATGAATTATATGAAGTAAAATATGCTAAACTGTCCTGTAACTGGCGCCGCCATTGTCGGAATACACCTGCCACGTATATTTTAGACAGTGACAGAAAACGGCTGTATCTTAGCAGGTGCGGTAATTCGACAGAATTACTCTGAATTTACTTAAGCCTCAAGTTTAGGAATATAAAAAGTTGGTGAACTAAGTGATTTTACATGTTTTAA